AAGGAGTACAGGTAGTCCCCAGTTTAAGAATGATTCCATTCCCAAGGTCTCTCCTTGAGTCAAATTTGTATGTAAGCCAGAACAGTATCATTGTATAATAGTATATAAGTAGTATTGTGTAATGAACTCAAACCGTGGTGTATTTAACCCAAATCATTGTGTATTTAACTCAAATTTTGCTACAATAGGCTCCGTTCTTAACTATGGGTCGTCCTTAAACCGAGCGTTCTTAACTCAGGGACTCCCTATATGCTATTCCACAGGACAGGTTCTGAGACAAAGAAGACACACCTTCTAGATCCCCTCAGATGGCATTGCTTCGTAGAAGGGACCCAGAGCATACCACCCTTTCAGATCTTGCGGGATGGACTGAGATGAATAGAGATAGGCAGCTCCTCAAATAACTTGGCCAAGTGCCATGAAGAGCTTTATACCCTGGGAGCCACAACCGTTTGTTGAGTAGTAGTGTCACATGGAACAGTACCCATAGCTACCTACACTGCTGCATTCTGGACAAGCTGCAGCTTTTGAGTGGTCTTCAAGGGCAGCTCCGTGTAGAGCATGTTGTAAGAGTCCAAGCAGGAAGTTGCATGTTGATGGCAAGGGCTTGCTCTGAGCATGGTCTGTAGTGGCTGACTCAATGTGGCACTGGCTGCCTGCCTGGTTATGAATGAAACCAGGAGCACACTTGCCTGGTTATGAATGTGGTAGCGTTTCTCTGTCTGCTGTTGCCACTCCTGCTTATACCAACTTGTCTTACAGTCTTCTTCCTCTTTGAGAGCTATTATCAGCAGTCAGATGGGTGGTTTCTTGGCTTGGAAAATACCGGGAGATCTGATAAGATGCAATAATGGTTTTAGATTGTTTTCTTTTCTATAACTATCCCAAGAACCATCAGCAGCTGCCTGGTGCAATCAATATGCCCTTGGAATTAAACCAAATCAAGAGGATCAAGAATAAACGGGTGCCGGTGCCAATGCCACGATTCCACAGAAGATGCCTTAAGAAAACTTCAAGTTTTCTTCATTTTGGCAATATACTTTAGGGGGAGGAATAATTTTATGGCCCTTTTGTGAAGCAGTTGAGAGCCCATTGTTTACCTCCAGAAAATCTGAGATTGTCAAATTGGTGAGGATCCACCTCCTACCTACTCCTGTAACAAAGGGGTGTCTTGAAAACAGGCAGAAGCAGAAACTGTAGTTCCACGTTAAAAGTGTTTGTAATTTGATCTTCTGCATCTTCAGATTTCTTTTTAAAGAAAACTCAGGTTGTATGACTTTGCCTGAGGCCTAGATAAAATGTTCTAGGCTAGGCTGTTGGCAGCTGGTAATCTCCCAAGATCTCTGTGCAGAGGAAGATTCCCTCCTTCCTGCCATATATACAGATTGCTGCTTCTGAACCACACATGCAGTGGCCTGTTTAACCCTTCCTATCTCTTGCCATATTTCTCTTACGGAACAACTGCTCCCTGTTATATGAAAGCAAAGATACGTTGCGTACGATGCATACGCAACTGCAGAAGACAAGAATGTGTGACCATCCAGATATTGCTGGAGTGTATTCCCCATCATCAATCTCACCACTAGCCATGTGGGCTGAGGCTGAGGGAAAATCAACAATATCTGGAGAGCCACATATTGCTGCCTATCTTGAACATAAAGGAAGAAATCCAGTAGAACAACTCTTGCTGCATTACTAAGGATGATTAAAGGCTCCTATGCCATTTGTGAACACGCAAGCATGCGGACCAGCAGTCTAGGACTGCCTTTGTAGTATCCTGCTAAATTTTCTGCTGGACCCTCACTGGCAAGTATAGGAAACTGGATGGAAGAAATAAAGACATTTGGAGGTGGGTCAGATACTGATGAACTACAGCTCCCAAGAGTCCCAACCATCAGAGTCAATGATGAGGGATGTGGGAAGATGTAGTTCAGAAATATTTGCTAAGCTTTCTGTTGGGCTCTTCCTGACAGGTGTGTAGAGCTGGTTGGCAGGAGAGAAACTTGTGTCCCTCAAATGTTTCTGAACTACAACCTCCAGCATCATTAGCTAAGATGGTAGTGATTGCTGGGTTCTGTAGCTCATTAACGTTTGGGGGCAAACATACTTTCTCCCTTTCTTGACAATGTCCCACAGAACTAAAGAGATCCAGTGAGGTAAGGTTGCTAGATTGAAGAGACTCCAAATTAAGTCTTTGTTGAAGCATGGCATTCACAAGTAATCTTGAGCTGATTGCTATCTCTCATAGCATTTTTTGGAAAGATAAAAACAAGAGGGAGTCCCCAGGTATATTGAACTCCTAGAGAAAAGGTGAGATGTAAGACAAGAATAAATGAATACGAAAGGTTCAGGACTGGAACTTTTCACCAGTGACCAACTAGGTTTTGTGCCTCAGATGGAGGACAGATTGGGCCATTCCACATATAGATGCTGGCAGTCCAAACTTGCTTCCATGCTGATGGTAGGATAATATCCTCCAATGCATTTGAGAGCAGCAAGCTAGTACTCTATGGGGGATACAGGGCAAGATGCACCCAATTATAGCCTGTAATACCTGATCAGATCTCCCTGCCTTCCAGCATTTCTGCCTGAGTTGGAGACCTCCCTCCTAATTGGGGAACCACACCTGCTCCATCCTTCACTGTTTGTTTTTTTTTAAGAGTCAATCTCCCTATCCTTCATACCCTAGGGAGTATTAGCTTCTGAAGTGAGAAAAGACACCAGGTGGAAAATGGCCGTCTCCAGGTTCTTCTGCCTCTATTTCTCTGCCTGCCCCCAATTCTTCTGAGGTAGAAAGGAGCCAGAGTGTGGAATAAACCAAGATAGGGAAAAAGTGGGGAAGGGACAGAGATAAGTAGGTAAGTATCCCTCTCGCAAATCAAATCATTAGCCTTCATTTAATGGGGTGGTGGAAACATACACTGAGAGTAGCACCCAGGTCTGCTAAATAACATGGAGAAACCTGAAAGCTAGTCCTTCAATCCATGCTCAGATCAAAGTGGCCTTAATTAAAAATTAGGTGCTTATCAAGAATATGGGATTCACACCCAGAGAGCTTTGCTGTAAAGGTCTCAAATTATATAATGTTGACTCCTGAGCCTCAGACACTATCCTTCATGCCTTTCCCTGGAAAACACTGCTCGGAGGCCCTTCGCTTTTTAATCTGCTTTATTACATTATTTTGATTTCAATTTCTGAGTGGCATGTTCACATCTACAAGTCTAGGCTGAATATTCTATACTGGTTCCTACAAGGCAGGGCTTCTGTTTCTCCTGGAGGGGAACATGTTTGAATTTTTAATGATGGCTGTGAAATAAATATTTGTGTTCAGGTGGAAAACCAGCAATATGAAACAGAGAGTGGCTTTCTATTTTATGCACACACACACGCACACACAATTGGCTTGCAGAGACAAGAGTTATAAGCTGATGCTTTGGATCATGGACGCTAATGTGAGGTTTTGAGGGAGATGGTCTCTCAAAAGAAATTGAAAGTTAGAGATACTGGTGACTACGATCTTGATAAAAACAGCAAGTGGAGTTGAGGTAACAACTCCAGTTCCTTTAGTTCACACAATAAACAATCATTTCAGTGTCGCATTTTGTGTTTAATGCTTCAACACCTGTATGTTCATACAGGATGAACTTTCCATCCATTCCATGGTGCAGCTATCTTGGGAAAACAACCAATTTAAAAATGCATGTATAAAACCTGCTCCCCTCCCCTCCCCTTTCCTTTTCTTCAAGATCTTCCTGTGGATTAAAACCTAGCATCACTTGGAGAAAGAAGACCGAGGAAGATTCAGTTCCCCCAACACATTCGCTTTCCACAGACAGCCATTTTTTGAGATGGTGGGACATTCTCAGACCTTAAGACTAGGTGTATTGGTTCATGCTGAACTGGGGAAGGAATCTTCTTTTGGGAGGTTGAACACCCTCACTCCTTTAGTTGAATGAATGTCATTCGAGTACCTGCTTGCTGGGGTGTGTCTGTCTTTTACCAAAAGCAAGCCACCTTGCACTGTGGGAACTTGAGCCAAGAGGAACTTTAATTGCCCTCACATGACTTTACTAAATGGGATCTTGGGTGGGTGAGGAGGGCAAGACTACTGTGTCATTACTTTTTAAAACATTGGTGAACAGCATGTGCGGGCATAATGCGTTTCAAATATTTAAATTATACCCTTGTTTTTTCAGCCACAGGCAGAAGTTCAAGCAATGCAAAAGCAAAATCCTCGTGACCCAACTACCCTAGTCTTAGCTAGTCTTTACTAGAAGCTGGCTAATATTTCTGGAAATGCTAGCTGTGCCTCCTACAGAGACACGGCATCTAGTTCTTAACAGGGTGTGTGTGAAAATCTGAGCAGATCTGACCCCGAGGGACCATGTTTAAGGCATAGGAAGGTGCTGTATTTTCAGTGTTTGCAGGCACTACAGCTGTTTCCATGGAGACAGCTGTAATGTTACCAAACAGGATAAAGTCAGAGCAATATGCTGAAGGGTGCAAAGATGAAGAGGAATTGGGAAAAGAAGGGATAAGATCCCTGCTGACCCCATGAAGCTTTTGTTATGGAGATGTGGGGTCTGGGTAGGTCTTTTGGGCTACAACTTCTCAGAGAGGCTTTTCAGCTGAGGGACTTTCAGAGACTTTGCCAACTATGGACCGAGTCTGTGTGCTCAACTGATTTTAAGCTAACCCTTTTTAGCAAGGACGATAAGCACAATGGCTGATATAGCTTAAAGCCTATTCACTGAAGGGAAGAGGAAATTCTTGCTTCATGTTGTAGGAGAAGAGCTGTGTTAGTTTAGGGTAGCAAAAAAATCAGGTGTCTGGGAGCACCTTTTCTGAGTAACAAATTCTATTAAAAGGCAGAAGCTTTCACGAGCCGTAGCTCACTTCATCAGATGCAATGCTCCATATGTATAGGAGAGCCGAGCTGAATATGCAGTTATTTGTCCGCCTCACGTTGCCACCCCTTTCTTTCTTCTGCTTAATTTCAGGGTGAAGCCTTCAGACGCCTTTGTTCTAATGCCATCTGCCTGTACTTGGCTAGCTAGACCTCGCATTTACTACATCTGCCTGCTTCTCTGCTTCAAGCCAGCTGGGAATTGAGCAACCCAGCTCTTTGCCCAGGAAGAACCATGCCCCTGGAAGATGATGAACTCAGCTGGAAAAAACAAGCGGAAGATATCCGGGAAATCTACGAATTCCGGGAGGTGCTGGGCACGTGAGTTCTTTCAGCTTTAGGGCTGCCTGGGTAGAGGCTGATACGCAAACTGTTCATACCCTGGGATAAACAGTTCCAGTCAAGAGCGTCAGGATTTGAACTTGCAGTTGCTTCAGCTAAAAATCACCTCCTGGGTTTCCTGCCTGAGCCTTCTTCATTTCAGCAACCTTAGCCTAATGTAGAGAAGACCATGGTGGGAGTGGAATTCTTTTATAACTGTTGCTAAACAGTTAGGAGAGATGGCAATCTTTGTAAACCTTTTCCAAACTACACAGCCATCTGCCAGTAGATCCAAATCCAGACAGTATTCTGCTCACATACTTGTTTACTCAACAAGTTGTAATCTCAAGTAGCAATCCTTGTTGCCTATATGAAGTTCCAAAATGTTGAGAGACACGCTCCCATGTTGGGTCATTTACCAGTTGCTATATTCCATGCAACTCTGAATTGCACCCAGCAGAGATAAATTTTCTTAAGCCTATTTACCAGAGCTTTGTGGAGAGTTTGCAAATGAGCCTGTTGTTGATTTCTGTCTTGAATTCAGCCAGTTGGCTTATACCCATCATTTGAAAACCATTTTTCTTTACAAATTTGGCTAGAAGCAGGTTGGTTAATTCCAATTAACTGAATATGTAGAAAGAATCTATAGAAGTGAGGAGAGCCAGCTTTTTAAACTGACGTAGGTGGAGCAGAACCTTTTGACCAAACTGCTGAAAGTTGGACTACCCTAGCTGTGATGCTGTGGTGTGTGTGTGGGGGATGTATGGAAGGAGTGATTTCCTTTTTTAGTTTGCCTTAGCGAGGTCTAGATAGAGAAGCAGTTGATGTCGGGTTTGAAGCAATTTGGTAAATGTAGCCAGGCAGTTGCGCCTTCTTGCCATTATCTCCATTAATCTGGCTAACACTCCAATCAGGAGTTTTGGAGGCTAAACAAAATTGCAGTTCAAACATAAGGCTAAGCTGTCACTTAGTCATCCTTACCCTAGAGCAGCCATCTCTAACTGACATACTCCAGATATGTTAGATGACAACTCTTCTCTCCAATCATCATGACCCCAAATAGCTTTGGAAGAGCAGAAACTACCTCCCACCTTCTGCAGTAAAAGTACCATCCCTAAACATGCAGCCTTAGGAAGTCACTTGAAATTATTTTGTGTTTAAAGATCCAGGTCATGGATTTCTATGGATGTTGTGGGTTTCCACGTGTTTCCAACTGGGGGTTGTCTAGGCATGTATGAAAGACATCAGCTTGGAGAAGGTTGGCAAAGTGGCCATGGGGGTAAGTGGCAGGTGTATGAGAATGCGGAACTCATCTTGTTCTTTTCTTGAATTGCCAGGCATGCCACATCTCAAACTAATGCCAGGACTGGGTCAACAGTTGGTGAATGAGTTCTGGAAACCCATGGCCTCAAATATTAGCACAAGACTTTGTCAATATTGACAGGAGGTGTGAGCTGCAACTTACATATGTGCACAGTCTTATTATATGCCGCTATTTCGAGGGAGAGGATTCATTCCAGGTGGCTAATTGTTGTAAGCCATGACACTAAATTTGAAGGGCATCATCCTGGAGACAGAAAGGCTCTGTGTTCAGACAAGCCAGTTGCCATTTTGAAATGGACCTTGCTTCAAAGGAACTGAAGTGTGGTGGTCTTTTATGGATAAAATTAGAGAACAAACAAATATGGCTGCACCATCAAAAAACCAAAGCCTACTTTTCCTTTTCTGTTTCTTTTCCAGCACTGCTGTGCAGTAGGGTGCTGTAACCTTGAGGTCCCCATTCACAAATGCTTTTTAGAATTAAGATGGTCAACATAAGCATTCTTTTCCAGAAGGATCAGTAACAGAATAGGCCTTTTGTCTCTGACATTGGATTGTCATAGACTCTTCTCAAATGTGATGGCCATATGAACTTCTATCCCCTGACTTACTTTTATTTCTTTCAATATCCAAGTAAGTCATGTATCCAATGGCCCACAAAAACTCACACTATAATTATGAATATTTTAATGTTTCAGGTGTCTCAAGTTTCTTTGTTGCTTTTGTTAGGTATTCAGGAAGGGGTAAGGCTAAATCACTGAGCAGGGCACAGCCCCTGTTCATTCAGGTCCAGTATCTCTTGAGTTTCCCTATGCATATCATGCACTTACGGTGGCTTAAAGAGTATTAATGCATGTTTAGGGGAGTATGGTAATGCATCTAAGCATCTGCATGTATAAAAACTAAATGGGAGCTATTTTGTTTATTACTCAGCCAGTCTGGATTGAATGGATGCTGTATCTTATGTGAACTGAGTCAAGCACTCCTCCCCCCATTTCCTAACAGCTGGAGGAGAGAAGTAGGGGGCAGCTCATCCATTAGCTTTTATGAGTCTTTGTTTTTAGCAGTGCAGCTTGTTTTATGTATAAAAAGCATTAGAGGAGCCCCTGTGGATTGGATCAAAGGCTTCTCTAATCCATCATCCTGTTTTCCACAGTGGTCAGCCAAATCCCTCTGGGAAGCCCATGAGCTGTTTGAGAGGTCATGTCATATTGTTCCCTAGCAAGTGGTATTTAGAGGCCTGCTGGAGATAGCAGATCACCATCATAACTAGTTCTTGTTGATTTCCTTATCCACCACGAATTTCCCCAGGCCATAAAAAGCAGCTGGCAAGTTGAATTCATCTGGTGAGGCAAGGGGGCTTGCTGACATATCAGAGTGTAAATATTGATGGGTGGATGTGTTTGGAGGGGTGCAGGACCTCTCTTCTGGTATTCTTTGCTTAGCTAATTCTCCACCCATGTATCTTCTTCTTCACTGTTGTGTCTTGAAGCAGTGCCATTTCCCTGCCTCCTCTTATCTCTCTACCAGATGTACCTACAATCATAAGAAATAGGGGAGTCCTCTGCTTGCCTGCCACATGCTTATTCTAAGGCACAGGCTAGGCTTCCAGAAAAAAGGGTGCCTGTTTCCACAAGAATGAGGGTGTACGCTTGAACTGTACACCTCTGTTTATGCAAGGGTATACCAGCACATGGTTTGGGGTCCAGGTATCTCTCCGTCGGGGTGGAAAGAATGCCTTACTTATCCTCATTCTTGTTTCACTCCTAGCCTAGTGTTGAGATTTTCTTCCTGGGGTGTTTTTCTCCCTTTACCCCCTTTGTTTGCAGATTCAAGAAGGCCTTACTACTTTTGCTTTTGAAACAGATTGAACCTCTGTGGCTTGATACCAGCCTTTCCTCCCAGGTTCATAAGCTCAGATTCTGCCCTCCTTGGCACATTCTCTTTATGCCTTGCCCATTGCTTTCCCCCAATCTTCTTCCTCATGGCACATTCTCTCTCCTTTCTGCCCAGTGCCATCTCTCACATGTTCTCCTATAAATAGCTGAGATTCTGCAGGTTGCTGTGGTGACAGTGGCTGGGTGAGAGATCCAGCCGGGTGTAAGGGGGAGGGGTTGGTGCTGAGAAGAGGGCAGAGCAAAGAGTGAGGGGACTTGCTTTGGCCCCCTCCCTTTACTTCTCTCCCTTCCCTTTACTTTTCTGGGCTGATGGACCTCATTCTATTGTTTGCTTCAGAACCTCAAACATTTTATATCACTCAGCACTCTGCACTAGGCGATGCCCATCTAAATGGGGCGCCTCCTGGCCAGGGAAATGCCTGATGTCTCACCTTCCTCCTTGCAATCCCTCTTGTTTTCCAGAGGTGCCTTCTCCGAGGTGGTGCTGGCTGAAGAGAAATCGACCCAGAAGTTGGTGGCCATCAAATGCATTGCCAAGAAGGTGCTAGAAGGAAAAGAGAGCAGCATTGAGAACGAGATTGCTGTGCTGCACAAGTGGGTGGTACCTCTCCTCATTTTCTTCCTTCTTCACTCTTATCAGTCTGGTTCAGAAAAATAGCTGATGATCATTCAGACCAAAAATCCAAATCTGTTCCTAACTGTGACCCGTGTCGTTGCTTTGAAAAGCTCAGAAGCAAAGCAAAGCGAACCAGGAACAACTAACCTCTATTGCATCTTTCAGAGATGTTGAATCCTCACCCATCATGAGGGGTTCAGGTTAGGGATGCTATCCTGTGGCTTGTCTCTTCTTTCTTGAATTGCAGACGTGCAGAAGAATGATACACCTTCCTGGCGCATTGCTTTTGTATTGCATAATCAGAAAAGTGGGAAGCAGGGCAAAGGAGAAATCTCGGTAGTTTCCCTTTGTTAAGATTTTTTTTTTTAAACTAACATAGTGGTGTGTTGCTTTTCTGATGCCAGAGCATCTCTCCACATATTATTCAGTGGAATGGAGAGGTAGCAATGGAATTGCCTATTCCATACTGCATAGCCATCACCAGTGAACAGCACAGGGGTATAGCTCTGGAGATTGTATCTCCAGCTGCTTCAAGCAATTTGGTCCTCAGATTGATTCATTTCCAGCAGTAGGACAGGATTTGGGTGATGGGGTTGCTCAAAGCAATGGAGTACAGCAAGCTAAAACAGGAAAGGGCCGACAGGATTTTCATCCTCTTATCTGAACATTTCATGTAAAAAAATTAGCCACTTTGCTTCCAGGCACTGTATCCAAATGTGAGGAGGGTGCATGAATCAATATACATTGGTTTATCATTGCAATTAATCTAGCCCTTTAGTAACAGGAAAGACACTCCTGAGCCCACTCTCAGACCTAGTGAAAATTAGTTGCTCAGATCTAAATAAGTCCTTAGTCTAAGTTAATAGATTCTCCTCATTTTCTTCCTTCTTCACTCTTATCAGTCTGGTTCAGAAAAATAGCTGATGATCGTTCAGACCAAAAATCCAGATCTGTTCCTAACTGTGACCCGTGTCGTTGCTTTGAAAAGCTCAGAAGCAAAGCAAAGCGAACCAGGAATAGGAGGCTGTTTTTATACTACAACGTTGAAGCCTATCAACGTTGGGGTATGATTTTGGTCATCCCCAGTCATGTTAACCATAGGCCAACACATCTGGAGGGCTTCAGATTGGGAAACACTGCATTACCCAGAGGGTAGGGACTAGATTTCCCTGGTGAGGTGATTCCTCTAGCAGTACTAACAGGTTTTTTTTCCTGTTTGCGGGCTACAGCACCCTTGCACAGCTCAAGATTCCCCTTGCCCAAGGACGTCTACTGAGGAGAAATATAGAATTGGGTTTAGGAATGATAATCCCTGATATTATCAAGTTTCCATTTTCAGTTTCTTCAAAGCGAGCGCATCAGTAGCCTTCCGCATCAACCAGATAGACTCATCCTTTTTTAGTTACCGTATCTGGATTGGAATATCAGCTTTTCTGAAAATAGTCCAGGTTGGCACTACACCGTGTTTTCTTGTGCCCAGAACAAGCCATGTGACCATTCCCATACGTTGCTGATGCTTCATTCGGGCACCCTATCTGCATGTTCTGGCATGAACCCTGCGCAGGGTATTCAGATGTAATTGTCACATCAGTTGTCTGTTACAAAGTTGGAGCTCCTCTTAGTGTTTCGAAGACCTACTCGTGACAGGCTCTTGCTAGCATCAGCTATCACAAAGTAGATAGCTGAAACTAGCAAGATGGAGAGTTCATTTAAAGGGAAAAAGCTGTCCAAATTCTCTGGGGCCAATGAGTTATTGCTGCAGTAGTTTATTTCAAAAAAGAATCATGAAAGAAAATGTTAGGTAGGATGATAAGGCAACGATGAGGTGAAAGCACATTCGTACATAGGAACAGTATCTTATCTCATGCCTCCAGCTAACAAATATTAGTTGTAGTCCATGATTTGGACATTCAATTAACTCCATATTTACTTTGTCATTACTATTTTTTGTCTTGCTCTCTTTCTGTAGAAAATCCAGACAAAGCCACTACCAAATTATTGCAGCTCTGTGGACTTTATTCTTCTTTATATTTTAGTCTTGGTGCTATTTTTTAAAAAGTGAAATTGCATCAGTACCTTGTCTAGTCTGGACTGGTAAAATCTTTTTGAAGCTTTTCAGGACTCTAATATCTTTAATTAAAATCTCCCTGCTCACTATATCTGCTTTTATTGCTTCCTGTTAAGTGTGGTAGGAGGATTACTGATTATTTCTCCTGAATTGCACCTTGAATAACCTCTCTTAAATGTCCCCAGTATCAGTTTCTTTCACTAGGTAGCAGTGGTAGTAGAAGTCTTCAATAACTGGCTTCTTTTCACTATCCCCCCCCCTTTTTTTCATATAAAAACAATCACAAAAGTATGATGCCAAGAGTGAAGAACTACAAGGACTTGGATTTTTTGTGGTGGAAGTCGTTTTTAGGATCTAAATTTGCACACTTCATGAACTTCCATGAGGCCAGTCATATAATTTCCTGTTTCCTGGCACAGGAACATATTTATCATACCCATGTTTATTGGTGATCTTTGCAAAATGAATAGTATTTGCGTTAGATGATACTTCTGTGGAAGTGCCTACAAAGCTCTTTCAAAAGCAATCAAAACCAAAACTGCGTGATATCAACAAATTGGTCTGCACAAGAATATACTGCCAATTTTAAAAGAGGCTTGGATCTTTTTCCCCTTTTCAGAGGCAGTTCTATAGTGATTTTGCACTTTTTTAGCTTCTATTTAGCATTTTCATAGTCATTTCTGTGCATTGGCTCATTAATTCTTACCATAAACAAGCAAATTGGGGCAGCAGGGGCAGTAATTATAATTCCCCTGTTGTTTGCATGAAATGCCCTGCATCTGTGAGACTATAGTTTGATTAAAGAAGCCAAATGAATTTCTGAGAGAGGTGTAGGATTTCATATGGGGGAAATAATTGAAAAGATTTAAAGGCTGTGTTCATGAGACAGCTTGAATCCCAAAGCAGCCAGCTGTGTTTTATTCTAGTATGTTTTGAATCTAACCCTAAGCGGTTAGTTTATGCTTCAGTATTCATACAGAGAGCATTAAGCTAATTGAGTAAATCATGATTAAGTTAACTACAGGAAAACATGTTAGGCAAAAAGAACTTAATTAGTAATTTAAAAAATAAATAGAAACCAAGGAGTAAATTCAAATGATGTTTATATATGTTAGTTACTGTTACTCAATGGGGCATTAATTAGTACTAATCCTTAATTACAATGCCGGCCAAATTGAAGTTCCTGACCTTCTAGGGAATTTTCCACCAAAGTTCACATCTCATTCTGAAATTCTTTCTTTGGAATTTAGTTTCTACTTGACAGTCAGATGCTTTGTTCTCCCAATATGTTTCATCCAGTCCAGTTTTTTGACCGGTGGTTCTGTCAGGTAGATAATCACATTAGCAGGGTCTAAATACTGCAACACCCCCCACCCAAATTTTCTCTAGGAACGTATCCCCTTAGCCTTTTGCACCAGAAACCCACAAGCAAGGCTTTCTTATATTATTGGCTTCTTCCTCATTGTCCAGATAGGCAGCAACAGAAGCAGCCAAGCACTGCTTGGGAAGAGGGTTCTAGACTGATGGATGTTGAGAACATGTTCTGCAATGGACAGGAAGATTAGGTTGGCCAGATGGATTAATTGACTGGATTTAGGCATTCCCAGAACAAGACTGACCGGATGGAGTTGTTTTTAGCTCTGTGCACAACTGGACCTTTCTTTACTGCCTGGGTCAATTTCCCATAAGAGGTTAATGTCAATTAATTATCTTGGGCAAATATGGTGAGAGTAAAAGTTGGATGGACATGCAGTTCGGCAGGACAGATTTGCTCCTCTAAAGTAGGGTAGAGATTCCACCGCTACCCTTCTCGCAACTCCTATACCCGAGGTTCTTTTGCACTGTCTCCTCAGGACTTTGACTCAGCCCCCGAGGTGAGACTTTGTCCTCAAACCCCCCAGCTTTCCACTCCCCCTCATACTGACTATGACATCAGCAACTTTTATTCCCAGGTTTGCTCTTTCTTATTTCCGTCCTTCTTTTTCTCTTCCGAGCTCCTGGTAATCTCATTCTTTAGCCGCTGCCAGGTTTTATTAGATTTTCCTCCAAACCTGCTCTCGGCTGATATATGACAAAACCCTGGCCATCTGACCCAGTCATTGGGCCTTCCGCCCACTGAGAAATGAGACTAACGCTTAACACAGCCTTAGTTTTGTGGGGCAACTTCCCCTAAGCTGAAGATAACAAAAATGCGTCTAGCAATGTGCGTGCAGAACTCTTTTGTGACTGTATTTGCCCCCAGCACAATCTGTCGTACGAAGAATAATGTTTGTACTTAACCCTGCAAGATATTTCTCAGCTGATTTAATCTTTCAGGGAGTTTGGAGGATGTTTCTTTGGCAATCGTATCAACGTTAAAACTATCAAGGCAAAGCGAAATAGAGTTTCTGTACCGCTTCCTCAGTAAAACACGTTTCCCCCCTTGGCAGGATCAAGCATCCTAACATAGTAGCCTTGGATGACATCTACGAGTGTGGAGGGCACCTCTACCTCATCATGCAGCTGTGAGTTGAGATTTCGGACGGAGGAGGGAGGGAGGGAGCCACAGGGCTCAGGCCTTGCTAGCTAAAAGTACTCAGGCCTTGCTAGCTTCTTAACCCCTCTGAGTCTTGTGGTGGATCTAATCCAGTGTTGTCCAAACTTGGCCACTTTAAGATGAGTGGACTTCAACTCCCAGAATTCCCCATGAATTCCTCCATGGCTGG